ACAGTTCTCACGTGCGCAGTCCGTTCCGGTCCGGACAGAGAAAATGCTGCATGTCACATTTTGTCCGGTCCGGAAATGCACGACCGCGTCAAAAACGCGCCGAAAACGCACTGCACTGCAGCTAACATACTGACAGCCCCACTCCCACCAAAAAAAAAACAATTTTTTTTTAACTGGGAACGTGTCAAAAACGCATAGCACCGCGTCTTCAGATCTGGTCCGGACATCGCGTGAACAAGCCCTAAAAGTGTTGAAGTCAGACCCACTATGGTAGCTCTGACTTCCGTACTTTTTGATTACTGGCCCCAAAAACAAGTGTGCAGATCAGGGGTCAGTGACAAAGTATGGAAGCCAACATATTGAAGCTGTACCATAGTGGCCAGCCAACTACCGGTAGTAACTTTTAGACCCGTCTTTTAGCCAACACTGTGTGCAAACTTGACGTTACTGGAACAATGTATTCTAAAACTGGATAGTTCTGCGTGGGTTGCAGTGAAAGTTATTGCTGATGCTATTTTTTTCTACATCAGGATGAGCATGACAGCCAGACAGTTGGCATTTTCAGTTGGCAAGGGCAGCCTCTATATTTCTCTTGTGACAGGTTTCCTTTACATGACGATCTCATTCATACACCTACCTAAAAACAATTTCTAAAGATGAGAATCTCTTTAACTTTTGTTCTTTTGCCTTTCTTCCAGCGTTGTCCTTGATAACAACACTATGTGGGCAGGGTTGGAGTCCGGTGGCAGTGCTCTTGGCAGTGAGTACAGGAAGCCTGTGCAGCACTGGGAGCTTGGAGCAGCTGTGGAGGGACGGCGTGAGTCAGCACAGCCCCGCGTGTCCCCACCTGTTGCGTGTCTGTGCACAGATACAGATTGTGTAATGCTCGTGTGGATTACTGACACTTCCTGCTGGGACTGGAGGACAGCCAGGCATTAACCTGTGATGGTGACTAGCTGCTCTCCTAGGACAGGCAGCACTGGGAGTCATTCTGATACAACCACTTTCTTGCCTATTGTGAGCGGAATTTACCAAAACTGGAGCAGACCGATTCTAAAGCAGCTGCCCATAGTAACCAATCGGCTTCTATCTTTTATTTCTCTGAACAAACTGAAGAAAAAAGCTGATCAGTTACTATGGGCAACTACTCCAGAATCCTTCTGCTCCAGGTTTGAAAAATCCCCCGCACAGTATCATCTCACTACAGGCTTGTGGGATCCTTGGAGAGGTTACTATCCTCCCCAGCCAGATGAATATAAAACGGCTTTAGGGCATCTCCCTTTTTGCCTGTGTGTACCACATAGAGCTCCTGGAGTTCTTCTTTACATCGGCCATATACCAGTAGAATTTTTTTTTTCTAGGGCTGTGGAAATTAAAGATTTATTTCTCGATTTTAATCGTTAAACTTTTTGATTGATTAAAATTATTTTGATCGCTAATGAAAACACTCACCTCTCCGCCGGCGTTTCGGTGACGTCACGGACATCGACGTCACCTGACTCCTCCCCCCTTCCCCAAGTGGCTCCATCGGCTAACGAAGGGAAAGGGGGGAGGAGTCCGGTGATGTCGATGTCCGTGACGGCTAACAAAGGGAAGGGGAGGAGTCCGGTGACGTTGATGTCTGTGACCTCACCGGACTCCTCCCCCTTCATTAGCCGAGGGAGCCACTTGGGCCGGTCAGTTTGCCCAAGAAACTTTCTGCACGAGCGCCAGCCAAGGCATTGGCCTATACACATACAGCACAGCAATGAAGTAATAAAATGAACTAGGATCACACTAATCCAGCACGTTATTATTCTGAGTTGCCCCATTCAAGCGGTGGCCATATTGAGTGGGGCACGTGAGATTAATAACGTGCTGGATTAGTGTGATCCTAGTTCCATTGCTGTGCTGTATGTGTATAGGCCAATGTAGTTGGATCTGTATGTGTATTATTATTAATCGATTAAAAAAAATTCTGATTCATCGAACACGAAAATGTTAATCATTACCAGCCCTAATTTTTTCCCCAAAATATATTTTGAGAACATTTGTTTGATGTTCTAATAGTTAATAGGGTGAAATCGACAATCATTTTGGACAGTAGGGACAAAAACAAATCAAAGGAACTGGATGGAAAATGTTTCTCGAATAAACGAAATTCTAACAGCGATGTGTTTTTTGCTTGAGAAACTCCATACATCCCTAAAATCAAATGTTAAAATCAAACAAAATTTTGAAGTACAATCGCCAAATCTCTGATGACATTAGCAAATGATCGTTAATGATGACAGAGAGGACTTGGACATGTACTTCTTCCCCCTGATCCGGACCTTACCTGAATGTTTATATCTAGAACAGGGATGGGCTATTTTCTTGAGGGGCCCCATGAGAAACTGGGATGGCTGTTGAAGGCCGAACCTTGGAGGGATACTCCACAAATCTGTACATGGAATAGAAATCTGGAACAACAAGCAAATAAAAAAAAGTGAAGTCCTGTCAGTGATCTCTTCTATCAGTGAGGTGAACCTTGCAGCAGTAACTCAATATGTGCTCTTTGCTATAATGCACTATAACCTCTTATGAAGAGTAACATTGCCATGGTACCCTGTACTCCAGATATGAATGGGGAAGCAATCTATAAATAGAGAGGGCAGTAAACACGTGGAGGGCCGGTCATTGAGGATGTTTTGAGGACTTTGATAGCAGGAAGGACAGAATGGTTGTTTTGCTGGTCTAGGTGTGTTCAGAGAGTTATATTAGGCAGGGAGTGTAAGGATTATAATTGTGTAATTACACAGCTGACATCAACTCAGTGGACAGGGCCAACTGCGCAGGCTCCTGTTTGGATTTGGAAGCTTTCAGCCACCCCCCCCTCCCTGCAGAGACCTGCCCTGGTGAATCACCCAGCCAGTCCTCTCGATAACGTTAGAGCATATTATGCAAGAACCTGGGCACAGCATGCACTGAGCCATGTGACCGGGCACCCCTTAGTCACCCTGTAAGAGCATGGCAGAGGACAGACAGAAACATTGCAGTGCGTTGTAATTGCTTCAGTGCCAACATTGTGCCATTCTTTCCAGGAATACTTCTGCTGCTGAACCGGTATATTTAAAGGGTCGCTCCACCTTCTTTATCTCTCAAGGTGGCAAGATCTTCATCTTGTACCCAGCTTAGCTTGCCAGTTCTGATCATTGATTGCAACACTGCATTTTTCTAGTTTTGGATAGTTGGGGTCTCTGTTAAGTCTTTATCGTTGTCCAGGTTAGGGATATTTGCCCTCACTTCCTGTTCCAGCAACACTTGGGGCATTGCTGGGAATTAAGTTTCCTTTCCCACTTTTTTGTTATTTTTTTTTTTAAGAATCCACCAGGTTTACACTACCACCAATCCCTAGTGGTTTTTACTTATATGGCATATATTGAGAATGCAGTCCAGAGAGGAGAAACGGGAAGTTGGTATCGGGACAGGAAGTGAAGGGAAATGTCCTTGCGTTGTCACATACAACAGTAAGTAAGGTTATAACCCATCAGTAAAGTTCTGATTTGACACCAAGTCCAGTCCAAACTTTTTTTTCTTCAGTTCTGGATAGAGTGGGGAAAGCTTAGAACTTCTATCAGGCTTTGATTTGCTCTCTCTGACCACATTGGAGAGACATAGGTTTACTGGTTGAACTGGTACGCTCCTCCCAAATACCTTTTAGTAATGGCGTATATTGCAGCTTTGATGACAGTCACCCATCATGCGGTCCAAGCTGAACATGCAGTCTTCTCATCATCCAGTGCCTTCCGCCACATTCTGGGAGTAGACCATCTTACATATTGCTCATCAGGCCGCAGAATCCTTTGAAACATAGTGTATCTAAACCCAAAAACTATTGGTTGCAGTCACTGTTGGGCCAAGAATTTTTGGACTGGTCCCAAGTGGTCTGCACACTGGTTGAATTTCATAGGAATCGGCAGGATTTGCCAGAAATGTGACCAGCATATGGCCAGCTTAAGATCAATTTCAGCAAGTACAGAAAATACCTGTTTTATCTAGAAATGCCATGTCCTTGTCGCTTCCTGTGAGCTGTAAAGACCGCATACACAATGTTGGCTTTCTTGTGTAGCTACTAGTCCCATCAATCCACCATGTAATGGAGATCAACAAAGGTAGACCTGCTTAAAATCCAACCTGTGTGACAACTATGGGTCACTTTCAGTGCATGTAGTCAGGAAGGTGAAGGACAGGAAGTGTGTTATTTGCAGGGTTACCAGGTAAAAATATAGGGATAAACACCAGAAAAAATTAAACTAATACAGTCACTGCATCTAAGGATCGGTAAGCTGCAATATAGAAAGTTTTTAGGTTTAGATATGCTGTAAAGGAAACCTTGCACGGGAGACATCAGGAGGTTGCTATTGCTCACTTCCTTTATGAAAATGTTAATTGCCTGGCTGTTATCATGATCCCCTATCTTCAATACTTTGTGAAACTCCATTTTCTTTCTCATTACATTTTTAAGTACATTGCATTTAGCTCGTCCCTTCCAAGTAAATCTATGGGACACTTTTTGGTAGACGCACAGCTACCATTTCTTTATGCAGCTCTTCCAAAATAAAAAGGGGGAAAAGTGGTGCTTTTCATCTTTACATTTGTTTTCTACTTTGTCTGAAGCTGATGTTTTTGTGCAGGTGCACCGATGATCTCTAATTTCTCTGAGTTCTGGACTTCTGTATGGTGTTCCATGAATGTGCCAGTCTACCAGTATATATGTCAAATATGTATTTTTTATTTTATATACTTTTTATTTATTATATTTTTATTTTATTATTCTTGAAATGTTATCAATGGTACAAAAATGATCAATAATATTTTATACAGTAACTTCTGTTGTATAGGAAATGTTTTTCTTTGTACAATGTTTATGTACATTATTATCATAGTGCAGAGTAAAGAGTATGTAATAAGTGATCACTACACAGAGGTGGTTCACATCCAGCCTGAAGAGTAACATACATGTTCTTTCCTTCCTCCCCTGGTTGCAGGTGTGTGGTGATGTAAATGGCTGTCTGCTGGAACAGGCAAGGTGAGATGCTATATTACGTCATCAACTGTCTTTTTTTGTTTTTCTTCTTTTGCCCTGTCATTTTTAAATCCCACTTTTTCCTGTTATTTTTATTCTTGGGGTCAATGTGACAGAGGGAGGGTCACTATTATGAAGAGAGTTCATCCTGGCACCCATGGCTCAAATTTCGGCCAATTCTTGTTGAATTGACTAAAATTCAAACTCTGTGTGATCCTGCTGGTACCACCTGGTTTTTCAGTCCAAGGAGCCGGTGGAAAATATTTGGCCAATCAGATGCAGGCATTATTTGGGTGTCCTGAATACTGTGGGCACTGGCGGCTGAATACAATAGCTCGGCAGGGGAGAGTAATTCTTCTGTACTGTTTAGCATGGATGGAGGGATCTGTTAGATTTCTTTTTGTTCAGTCCTCACACCAAGCAAAAGAAATCTATGTGTGTATGATCAGCATTAGTGTTGGGGGTTACAGGGAGAGTTAGTTAATTTATTGCATTAGTGTAAGCTGACCATACACTATGCGAGTTTCATCCGGTTTTTGATGAACTGGTTACAATTTGCACAGGAGGTGCCAACAGTCGGCATCCTTGTGGCCGGCATCTCTTGATCACCTGATTTGAAGACGCCAGTTGGCAAATCTTCGAACTAATAGATCTGGCAGCCAATGAGCTCCAATAAAGACAGTGGGAGATTCCTCGATCAACACTCATGAGCTTTGATGGAGGAATCTGTTAAATTTTTTATTTGTTCAGTCCGCAGGTTAAACTGAGAAAATATTAGTGTATGGACAGCTTTAGTGATATGACTGGGGATAAAGGGACTGTATGATCTTCTTCACACTATTGCTGTGTGTTAATGTGGGTCATGTTATATTAAGGCAGCCCATTTACACTGCCTGGCCAAAAAAAAAGTCACACACTAATATTTCGAACATTGATCTCTGCACTGAAAGCTACCAGTGATGAGCTCTTGGCACTGAAAGCTAATGGTATCATTTTTTCAAAACAAAGTGTAAAGGAGGACAATATAGCATTTACAGTAGGAAGGCACCGATACCGGTTACTAAATGTCGGTGCTGTGTACCCCGATTATCAGGAAGCCGGTGTTCTAGCGAAAGAACACCGGCTTCACTTCTCGAGGCCTTCCGCGGCTTGTACGATTACACTATGGAGCGTGGCGGCAGTGATTGAGCATTGCTGTTCCTCAGGATGGGCAGATGATAGATGATGGATAATGGCAGTACTGTACACCCTACTGTAAAAATATAAAGATATTAGACATCACTGAGCTTCATTACCATATGAAAAGTGAGAGACTGAAAGCCAAGTACTTTCACAGAGGTCGTAGGGTCATTCAGCAAAATAGAATTGGTGGGGGGGGTGGGAACACGACAATGGCTGGTGCTGAGCGATGACAATTCCTTCCTTTTCTGTTAACTTCATGAACATGCATTTCAGACAGGAATAGCCTTTATAAATTGTTTGCTTCATATGCATGCCGCACAGCTTAGTGTGTTTTTAGATAATGGGAAATACATTATTTTTGTGTGTTTTTTTAAATGAATGGAAAATGAACAAAAGCGCATATATTTTTTTTTTTTGCTTTTAGTGCATCTGTACTGTGATTTAACATTGAACGCAGAAACCCAAAATGTCCTTAAGCACACACATAAATTGTGGGAGTACTCGTAGAAATAAAGTTGCAGCAGTCTCGTTCGGTCAGAATGAGGTCATACAGCAACTTGTTAAATATGAACTGAAGCAGTTACATTTTATGAATAGTTTTACTTTACTTTAAAGGTGCAGGTTGTGATCTGTAAACAAAGGAACGTATTGTGTTAATGAGTGACAAGAAACTTCAATTTGGGAGACCTTCCGGAACATTCTTTTTCTATTTTGGTTAATGTTTTAACGACCCGGCTCGGTGTTGGAGCCACCAGAGGCTTAGAGTACTAGGAACAATCGCTTTTTTGTCGCATACCTCCTGCCTGTGTTTGCCTAGGTGACGTGCTTGCGCCATCTGATTCAGCTCTAAGCTCTCCTGTGTCATACGGGTTAGATTCTGACAAAGGGTGTAGTCTGCATGTTGCTTCGTGTGCATGCAGGCTTGTTACAGCTGAAGACCTGAGTGATGTCATGGGTCCTTCTAGCAATGGAATCTTTTTAACGAGTCGGGTTTCTTTAGGAGTAATTTCAGCCAAAGAGCTAAATAGAAAACTGAGGGCCCTATAGGATATTATTTATGAGCCAAAAGATTTAAAAATGAAATTCTAACTCCAGCCAAAACGGTTTCCTCTAGTAGGAGAGGGATATACCCTGGAATGGTGGCTAACTTACAACACACACAGGGACCATGGGGAACAAATGTAGCCACCCTCCAGAAGGAAGGACAGTGTCAGCATGAATTCAGAGATGATTTGACGATCTACACCCGAGTGATACACAAATGAGATACATTTTTATTTAATAGTTAAGCTACTTGAATGTATTTTTAAGATTTAATGTCACTTTAAGGGCTCATTCATACTGGTTGTATGGTAAAATGGGGCAGAGGTGAGCCGTTTTGTTGTGTTGTTACAACACAAAGCACTGTTTACTTTTTTCTAGTTCTTTTCTTAACTTTATTTTCAGTGTACAAAGTGTACAAACCAGCCATGTCTGTGCGGCAGCACTTTACATTGCCCTTCGGTGGCATCCAGTGTGCTGCGGAGAAAATCCGGTATGTCCGTATTTAATTGCAGCCCACTGCACCGCATCACGCCCGTGTAAACGGGGCACATAGAAAACAATTGTCAATTGCCCTAGCAGTGACTAGAGTTGGTCCACTGCGGAAAAACACCAGTCATTGCCCATAGTGTGAACGTGCCTAAATTCTTTTGACAGTTGTCACATGTGGGTTTTCACTTCACTTTGTTAGAATTTCTACTCTCTTATGTGTCTGTGGGGAAAGGAAATGAGAAAAAAATCACCCTGATGGGGACAACACAGCAATAAAAGAGAAAGTGACAGCCGGCAGAGCGTTGCGGGACGAGAGCACTGTGAGCGGCCGGTGTCTCTCCTCCCACACCGCTCGGCCGCCTATCACAGTGCGGCAGAGCAGTGTGGGGGCTGAGACTGTGCTGTCACAGAAGGCTGGGCTCTCCTCTCGCACCGCTCACTCCGCCTCCTGTGACAGTGTGTCAGAGAGGAGAGCAGGATACATACACTCGGCGATCAATCATCGCTGTGTGTTTGTAGATAATTGAGGATATGGTATTTGGACTATATCCTCAATTCTGAATGAATGGGAGTGATCTATATCCCCTCCTGTTCATTCATAATTGTGGTTATAGTAAACAAACAATGTTCTCCAGTTATCAATGAACAGGAACACTCGGAGGATTCCTGTTCATTGATAACAGGGGATACAGAAAAAGAGATTATTTAAATTTCTACTTCGGTGCACCTCTAGTTATAACCCTTCCTCACTTGCTCCAATGCTGAAAACATTTTTGGCTGAAGTCTCCTTCATTGCACCCTTGGTGATCCATCAACCATTGTTGGAGGAGGAAATCAGCCTGAGGCTCTGCACACTTGATTCAGTCTCATTTCCTGTCATGATTTTTAGCTTTCCGCTTGTGACAATTCTGTATTGGTTCTGGTTGGATTTTTTTGTAAGATGGTAACATGACAAGCAATTAAAATTATGGGGTCTTTTTTACAAACGGTCAGATACCTGAGCAAAGCTTTGTTATGGTGTGTGGCTGCTCCTTCTCTTCTGTACTCCACAGAGTAGGTTTTTACCAGACCAGCTGTGCATAGGGCAATGAAGGTGCACAGACACATGGGGGCAGATGTGTAAATCTTCTGCCCAGCGTATGGCTGGGTGAACGCCGTTCACCTGGCATTACTGCCACTATCTGGAGCTCAGGAGCACAGAAATGTCCTATGCTCTTGGGCTCCATCTAATGGCAGTAATGCAGTGCAAACATACTGATAGGAAGACTTCTATATCAATCGGACTCATAATGTTGTTTTGGTAGGTTTACTTAGGTTGAATATTAGCTATGGCATCCTTTTTAAGGGTTATTTCTGTTTTTTGATTCCTAGGTATGTAGACAATACAGGAGGCCCCACTCCTCCTGCTTTAATGATTCATTTATCTTTTAATATGTAGAATGTAGCGAATTGATGAATAACTCCCAGACTTGTAAGATGGTAGTGAGAGCTCACTGCTGGAATCTCCAAGAAATATCAGAAGCCGGAGGCCCACCCGACCGCCTCTATTATTTGAGAAGTCACTTCTAAGTGGACTCTCCCTTTAAATTACAGACAACAGTATGCAAAACTTCAGTTTATCTGATTTTGCGATCGGTATTCTAGCCTGCAGGCATTGTTTTTTTTTTTTGTTGCTGTAGTTTTTACAGTCTAGGTTTTTGTTTTGTGTTCGTTTGCATCTGAACACCTGTTGCAGTGTGTCTGTCCCCAAACACAATCAGAGCTTAAATTGCTGTCACACTCTGTGTTGTACTGTGATGCTTGCCGTAAACAGGTTAATCTAAAAAGGATATTACTGAGTTATTTTTTTTTCTTTGTATCCCACCCAGTTCTTTATAATGGCAGCAATGACAATACTGGGAAGGGGGGTATTTGTGTTGGAACTCCATACAGAGAATGTAGGAGGAAATGCTTTCCAGTCTTGGCTGGAAGGTGGGTAACTGTGTCTACAGACACTGGACGGTGGTTGACCATCTATTTAGGGGTGGGCGAACTCCAGCCCTTCAGCTGTGGAAGAACTACAAATCCCATTATGCATATGTCTCTGCGAGTCACGTCTGTGGCTGTGAGAATCTTGCAGTGCCTCATGGGATTTGTAGTTCCACAACAGCTGGAGGGTCGAAGTTTGCCCACCTCTCTATGTGCAGTCTGGTCGTTGACCAGTCATACGTACAAATGCATCTCATGAATATGAAGGTATGCCTCTGGATAGGACTCCTCAAGCCCTGTCCAGTGATTGGCCTGAAAAAAGCCATCCCTATCCCCATTGTTTATCAGGCTTCTCCATCTAGCAAGGACCTAACACATACAAATATTCCCCAATTCATCTGTAATTGTGTGGAATAAGTCAATGTGATGTCTGCGGGCACCTAAAATAACCTGCTTTTACTAATAAAATGTAATGCTAGCCTCCACTGCTGCACATATTTCCTTTTACTACTCCATCGCCCCATTTGGCTGCTGGGAGCGAGGAAAGGAAGGCCTGTATAAGCTCCATACCCCTCTACCCCTCTAGTCAGAGCTTACACAGGGTTCCCTCTGCTGTCACTTGATTTTGTGGTCCTTTACTTCAACGCAACAATATCAATGGGCCATCGAGAAACTGAGAAAACCTATTTACAAAAGATTCTTGTGTGTAAATATAACGCGAGAATTTAAAAACTGCCCAGAGAAACGTCATAAAGAAGCCAATACTGTCAGAGTAAAAAAAATTTTTTTAAAAATGTCATTTTAAAGGAAAGCTGTACTGCGAATTAAGCAGGATGCAAAGTAGTGGCTCCTCGATCTGAAAATACAAGTTGCCTGGCTCATATCCCAGTCCAGCGGCTTCAATGTTTTCTGAGTCACTGATCCAGAATAAGTATACAGATCAGAATGTTCTGATTCCACTGGGTGAATGCTTGTTTTGGATGGAGTAGGCACATATAAGTGGTCCTATTGGGTTTTTATTACTACACTAGGTCTTATTTTCGGGGTAGGTCCTATATTTTAGCAATTCCCAAAAATAGTACTAGGTCTTATTTTCGGGGTAGGTCTTATTTTCGGGGAAACAGGGTATATCGATGAAAAAAACAGATTTACGCCAGCACACCAATTATATGTGTCCAAGCAAACCTCTATTAGTGACGCATATTGTCACAAGAATGGCAACGTTTTGGGGCTGCACAGGAGCAGTATACTGAGCCTGATGAAGGGACCCTGCATGGCCCTAAAACATTGCCATTCTTGTGACAATATGCATCAATAAAAGACATTTGCTTGGACACATATCTCTGGGGTGCTGGTGACATCTTGTGGCACTATCCGTAGTCCTTTCAGCACCCATCCCAAGGGGTTTGCTGGTAAGTAATGTGGCGGGGGATACCTATTGGATTTATTACTATATCAGACTCATCCTCACTTGCTGTCCCTGTGATGACGGTTTTACCAGACCAGGAGCGATGGAAAATGTTTAACAGCAACACGGACCAAGTTGTGTTTTTTTTTTTCTAGTAGACTGGAACATCTAGGACCCTTGTGATTTCTTTATTGCTGTCCTTGTCGCAGATTCTTCCTCCTTCCCTGGCACATTGTGCTAATATATGTATATATGAGCGTTTACTCCAATGCACAATAGACCAGAGCTACAGCGCACTACAATGCACAGATGTGGATTCTATGTGTGCCGCGTTGCCCAGAATTCATGCAGGTCTTTTTTTCGTGCATTAGTGCTCGTTAAGCGCCCATTCAAAGTGAATGGGCTTCTCTAAGGCAACAAGCATCAACATGTGAAAAAAAAAACTTGCATTAACATGCAATGGTGTGAATCAGCCCTATAGCTGTCCGTCTCTCTTCTGGAGTCAGATGTCTTCATTTTTTTTCTCATTTGCCATTTTGATTTTTTTAGAGAGGACATTTGGCATCATGCATGGGGGAGGGGGTTGGTCGAGGGCCTCAATTTACTGGAAGTTTTTATTGGTGCCTAACTTTTCTTCCCCTCCCTCGGCCCTCTTTTATCCCCTCAAAGTCCTCTTTTGTCTCATTTCAATTCAAATAAGCTTTATTGACAAGCCAGACCACAGCATGCACTTTCGTGTTGCCAAAACATGCTTAGTGGGTTTTTGTAAGTGGGTCGAAGAAAGGTTTAAGCACATAATCCAAATGTACTGCAATCCTGCAGACTCTAAGGGTGGACTGAGCTTGTTTATTTAAATTTTTGATTTTCTTTGTCTCTTTGTCTGCCTGACTATCACTTATCCACCATACGTATTCTGCATACTGTAATTTTACATGGCAAGTCTCTATGTCTACAAGACTGACTGCTCTGTCTCCTCACTCTAGGCTTCTGTCAGCATCGCTAGAAGCCAAGTATCAACCATGGAGGTGAAGGGTCCCTGCGGAATCTCCTCAACAGGTAATATTAGTTACGTGTGTGTGTATGTACATATCCTGTATACACCCACAATATGTGTATTTCTGAGGTGCACTGACAGAGAATGTTCACCGGGAGGGGGACATTCCTCACGGTTGTGTTTGGGGAAGGAGGGGTGCCGGACGCCAGACCGCACTGTCACCGGCTCAGTCTGGCATCCTGTCCAGCTCACTGACGTCACTGGTTGCCAGATGTTCAGCAGGACGACAGCCAGAGCGTCCAGCTCAGCTTGTGACATTGGTGAGTTGAGAGGGAAGCCAAACAGAGCATCGTAGGTTGCTAAGAGCTCTTAGCAACCTGCAACGCTGTGACCGCCCCACCACCACCACCCAGGTGCCCACTAGTGAGGTGCCTCATTATAGAGACGGCGCTGTTATATATTTGCTCAGTCCTTTCCCCCAATCTAATGTCCCTTCCATGGTCATACTCATGCTCTAAACCTATTGGTCCAATATGTTTGTTTTTTTTTTTTTATAATTCATGTATAGTTAGCTTATTCAACATCCATATCTATGAATAAGGTGTATAAGCTATAGCAGCCTATCAGAAAGAATTGACATGACTGTAGACAGACCAGGATAAGATGGATCTGGATCAGTTGATGTAGGAACTGCCTTTAGTGCTGTACACCTTATTTAAATTGGTAAAAGGATATCTAAACCCAAGAACACAAATGTAATATATTGCAGTGTACCCTTACATACATAAGGTGATCGCATTACTTTAATTATTTCAGTCCAAGTATATTTTCTGCAAGTACAAAAGAAATACCTGCTGATCCTGCCAGAATTGCACTGTTCTTGCAACTTCCTGTGCACTGCAACAGAACTGAGATTTAAAGGGATATTATCAGCTTTCCCAGCTATCTTCTGTGTACTCGAGAGGAGGGAGTATTTTTAGGTCTGGTACAAAGACAGGTTAGAGCTTCTGTCGGGTTATATTGCGGTCTTTGTCTATGGGGGATTTCTCCTCATTTCCTGTCCCAGATATCATTAATGGGAACATAGACGGCAATGTATCCCTGACAGAGGTGATATCACTAATAAAATGGGCCAAACAAATCGACTTTTATCAGATTAAAATGTCAATTTTCAAGAGTAAAGCTGGCCATACACTGTCCTTTTTTTTTCTCATTCAGCCCTGCAGGCTATTGTGTTCTGACACAGTGGTGGGTTTGCTGCTATCAGAGAACCCGAACAGTGACTGCAGCTGATTAGCTCAGAGAAATTTCAGACTGGCTCTATCAACATCGATTCAAAAAAAAAAAAAGACTTTTGTTAAATGGAAGTGTGCAGACTGACGTGGCTGACATTTGAGCAGTGTGTGGCCAGCTTTACATTGGAGACTGCGGCACTAATGTACTTGTCATCAATAATATACAGTATAACCTGATCACTTCCTCTTCTGTGTCTTGATGACCTACTAGATTGTAAGCTCCTACAAGCTGGGATATGTTTGCTCCGAGTTCATGTGTTTTTTTGTTTTTGTTTTTTTTTAATTCTTTATTTTAATCACAAGCAGCAGAAGTACAACATCTGTAATAACAACAATAAGTTTCTGAGAGACCTCGCCAGCAGTTTCCCTGGTTTGTTGCCATATTCATAGAAGGCATGTCTTAATTTGGTTAGTCCCGAGGTAACCCGACTATGGGATAAGTCTAGTAATTGCATTCGCAGGGACGTGAGCTTACTTAAAAGGGAACGCCAGGGACTTCTTATGCAAGGTCTCTATTTCTCTTATCTGTTTCAGTAAGTCATTCGATTTAGCAACCATGGCTTTTTTCCGTTCTGAACCATTCCGGATCAGAAATCCCCGAAGGACACATTTATGCGTTTCCCACACCGTCAGTGGGGATACGTCTGGGCTCTCGTTTTCTTGAAAGACTAACTGCAATTGTTTCGTAATGTCATCTAATTCCGGACCCTCTTGTAAAAGGGTTTCATTGAGCCTCCAGGACCAGGATCGAGAGTTGTCAGGGCTCAAGGACAAGTTGAGGGATATCGGGGCATGTGTTTATTTCTTACTTTTACTTGGTGATAACATAGTCCACACAGCTTCATAGAATATAGTTTTTATCAGAGCTGTCCCAGAGGAGTTTACTGTGTTCATGTTTAAAGGGGGATTCCATGCACATTCGATGTTTGCTTGTGTTATTTAGTGCATAGTTTCCCAACCAGTGACATGAGTACCCTGGGGGATACCTATGCCTTCTAAATTTAAATGCATGTCAGTATAGAATAATACATTAATAAATCCTACAAGAAACACATATTGTTATGTCAAAGCTGCAGGTGTACCTGTCAAGAGGTGTAAGAGATATGTTGAACCCAAGTAGGTGGTCTTTTGACTATGGCACTCTACTATGTGCTTTATTAAAGTTGAGAAACCTTAATATTGGGAATGTGGACTGTCTTCTTGGTAATGTATGTTAACCTGCACATTGCATAGCACTAAAGCGTCTTCTTTCCTTTTAAAGCAGAATGCTGGTATCTCCTAGAAAGCAACAATGTTTCACTGCCACGCTGCACTGTAATCATTTGTCTAACTGGATAAACGATGCGGTATAATAAACTTTATTGCAGGGCCATACATGTGGAAGTAATGTTTGCACTTCCTCAGTCCATATTGTGGCAAAATGCCATTCACAAGAGCACAGTGACAGTAATGCATCTCCATAAAACCTGAGACGTGTAACTTGCTGAGGTGCACACCATCATTTGATCATGTGCATGCTGCTGTCTTCCCAGGTGGGGCCCCTTTTGACACCTCATCTAAGCAGAGAGCTCAGCTGATCTCGGAACTCACAGAGAAACAGCGAGATCTACAGGAGACGCTGAGGCAGAAAGTGAATGAACTGCGGAGGCTGTGTCTGCAGGAAGCTGTGAGTACAACTTCATGCTGTGCATTTTCTTACAGGATGTAGGCCATGGAATATCTGTACATGTCCTCATACATGGGTCTCTATGATAAGAGTGGCTAAAGGTAGACTTGAGACTGATGTAAAAAAAAATAATGACGTTATGTATTCAAAAAATTTACTTTAAAAAAAATATATATATTTTACATGCAGCTACTATAAATACTCAAATCTGCCTTCATAGTGTAACCCTTTGCACAGCAGCAATCAGACTAAAAGGGTGCAGGACAGGGAAAAACTCTTAGCCAATTAGGCCTCTATTGCTTTACTGTATGCGATCACTCTTAATACTGTGAACATGCTTGAAGGAGCACAGTAAGAAACCTTATTAGGGTGATGACTGGGGCTGGTGCTAGACCAAGCTGCATTGCTAAACTACAGCGTCTGCAGGTAGGTCACAGACCTGGCTGTATTGTATGGCAGTGGTACCCAAATTACAAGACTGGCTGAACACATTTAAAAATCCTTTATAAGGTAAAGCAGATTTGCATATTTAACTGTTTGCCTGAAGTTAAAATTGAAAGTGAACCTGTGCTTTGACCATGTAGGGCAAAGCAACAGGTCAACTTTAATGGAGTCTTCTGAAGAATTTACCATCCCTCACCAGTCTGTTGAGCAAAGCCCTGTGTAAGCTACAAGTCATAAAAGTCATAACTTGCACTGGTCAATGGACTTCCGTATGACAGCACTGATTGGCTGTGACATGTTCCCCTATACCTGGAAGCACCAGGTATTTTCTTCCGCTCCTGTAGCTGAACAATGCAATGAAACCTAGGTACCTAGATGCTGCTGTGGATGGAGGGGTTAAAGCAATCCTTTTGCTTTGCCCGGGATAGGTAAGGGACAGGCTTGCTTTAGGCTGCAGAATGCACCACTGTATAAGTTATCAATGGCAAAACTCCATATTGGAATTGTAAAGCGAGGATGCTTTTTCTACAACTAATAATATCCACAATTCTATTTAGTACAACGATAGAATATCTGCTGTAATTGATGAATTATTTAGTATTTGTGATGTAATAATAATAATAGTTTCCCTTCTTTTCTGAGCAGGAACTGACCGGGCTGGTGCCTGCGGAGTACCCACTGGAATATGGCGAGAGACCTCCAGCTGTCACAAGGAGGCCACGAGCATTCAGAATGACCGCTGCAGCGGTTACCAGAGCAGAAGTGAGCAGCTGCCGTGTTTTTCATAATTCATGAGACCCAGAAATGCCATTTTATACCTTGTGTTTGACCTTAGATAAACAATGCTGAGTTGGATTCTCTCCCCAACTCTGACCACCGAGCATTGGTGTGTGATTGGGCCATCCTCACGTCAAACGGATACCACTCATTGAAGCCGATAGTCTAAAACAGGACTGTGGTTGCTTGTCCAGTAAACTTGCAGGAAGTGCAATATAATGTAAAGTGTGCCTGTCACCTTCACATACTGTGGACAGAACAATTTAAAGTCAGGAACAAAAGTCAAAAACCAAAAAAGTTATATATTGCAGCTTACCAGTCCTTAGATGTGCCAATTAGTTTCTTTTTTCATACTAAGAACATTTTCAGCAAGTATGGAAAATAACCGAGCATCTTTCCAAAAATGCAGCTTCCTTGTCACTTCCTGTGAGTTGAGCTGAACACTGAAAACTTTCTTTCTTGTGAAAACTACTAATCCCATCAACTCCTATGTAATGGAAATAAGTAAAGGCAGACATATTTAACCCCTTCCTATTTTAATTAAATGGCCAGATGGAATACTCTTGAATGTGGGTGGGCGTTTTAAAACATCCTTTCCCACTCTCTTGAGCTTGAAACTAAAAGCATTTTAAACAGCCGGCAATGGCTGTTTACATACAAGCGTATTGTATGTTGCATGCAAGTGTGTGCCACCGCTGATCTCGGACTCCGCTGTCCCCTATGTGGGCCCGGGACTGGCACCGGCATGGCAGCTCTCTGAACTGAGATCGGAGGGAGATCAGCAAACGTCCCCCTGCTGACCTCCCCTACGTTCTCAGTATGCGGAAGTGATGTGTATTACATCACTTCTGCCTTCAGACTATCGTTTCTCTGGCTTCTGTAGCTGGACAGAAGCTGAAGCAGATCTCTTCTTCATCAGCTTCTTTGGGGTTCCCTAGGTGAGATTACGGGGTCTAGTAGACCCCTGATGTCTCCATAAAGAGGATCTGTCATTGTATATTTGCTGTCACACACACAGATGGGGCTTCTTGCAATAAAGTTAAGTGTAAGCTAAAAATGTTTAGGTCCCCCCATCCCTATGTACACACAGACATACAAACGCAAACATTCCTCCGGTGCACCTACGTGCGAAAACAACAATTGTGCCCATAGTGCCGCACATGTTACATATCACTGTGAACGTCGGAGTGCGGGTAATAATTCTAGGGCCATCAATCACTTTTGACACTAAATTGATGAGCAGTAAAAACTTTTAAAGCGTCGCCTATGGCCAATTTTGGTTATGATAGTTTTTTTTGTGTTTTTAAGTTTGTTGATGGTTGTGAAAGAGTGATCGATAAATTGTTATTAAAAGAAGTTGTTTTTCTAACCATTTTGAAAGAATTTTCCCAGTGAAATACAAAGTCTGTGCAAATGTGGGGGTCCTTGTGCCTTCCACTTCTAAAGTATGAATTGACAGTTTATATTTTGGGATTTTAATATTTCTTTCTTTTGAAATCAAATAGGAAAGTTTCCTTAGTTTGTTTTACTGGGAATTCCACCAATAACGGTTTATATGGTGTCTGCCATCTAGTGGTCATACTTGGTATTATAGCCTAGTTCAGCACGTGCCCTTGCTCGGTGTCTATAGACCTGTTCTCTGGTTCTTTCTTGCAGGAAGTGCAGTTGGACCGTTTGGAGCGAGATTTTGCATTGCAGCTACAGATGGCGGAAGCTGCCCGAAAGCTGAGCGTTGCTGCAGAGCAGAGTACAGAACTGACTGTGGAACAACGCAGGAAACGCAGACTGGTTTATCTGGACGCTCTACGCAGGCTGCAGGAGATAGAGGAACAAAGTAATAACCTGCGGAGAAAACTGGGCCTAAGGCCTACACATAGAGTCCCCCACAGTCTGCTCGGTGAGTGAGCGTGTCCTGACCAGGGAGTAGGTAGCCTTGTTAGTTTGCCATTCTTTCAGCTTAAAAAACGCTAGCTCTTATTTTTTTATGTCTATTGTAGAAAGGCAAAGGGATCTTCCTCTTGCTGTCAAGTTGGTCTGTTCGATAAATACAACATGGTAGCCCTCAGGGCTGGTTATAAGGCTGATGAAGGCGTTACAGCTCAACAACAGCTGTTGAAGCACAGGCTGTCTTACATGCTTAGGCCGCAGGGTCTTTCCAACCAACCACATTTGGGCTGGAGTTGGGCTTTAATCGCCAATTAAGGGGAGCTACATTTTTAACATTTTGATAATCTTTCTCAACCAGAGTGCTGTGGCATGCTGGTGTGCCTTCTGGCCTCCTCAGGGGTGCCTCAAAATTTTGAGGTAGTGGGACTGTGATGTAAAGGGGGCAATGAAGACTGATGTGAAGGGGAGCTCTGATGTGAAAAGGGGGCTACTGCTGCAAAGGGTGACTCTGATGTGAAAGGGGGATCTCGATTTAAAGGGGGCACTTCAATGTCGAGGGGGAAACCCACTTTTTTGTGTATTTTTGCATGGGGTCCCCTTAAAATCCATGACCTTTTAGGCTGGGGTGTCTGATAGGATCTTTACAAGCAATAGAGAACAACTCAATTCCTTTCCAAAAATAAGGCTTCATGCATAGAACTGATAATATAATTAATACATATTTTTTTTTTTTTTCAACAGATGAAGCTTTCCAATCAGAATGCAGTTCATTATCTGATGGGGGCAGCCATGGTGAGTATGGCTGAAGTAGAAAGTTTGTACTGTATACTTCAGTTCAATTCAAAGACCTTTCCGAGCCTGTGACAAATAGAAATGGCATTAAAAGATTGTATGATTTTGGCCTGTAGATGACATTCTCGCTCCAGGAATGAGGCCCTCTCCTCCCCGGATTGCTGAGCACTCCCGTGCTGTCTCCAATAGTCCTGAGCGAAGGGTTGGTTGGAAGGCATCACCTGTGGAAATGTACTGTGAGATCCGGAACAGGCGCAACTCCATGGCCAGCACTGCAAGGTAGGTTGATTATTCTTACTATAAGTACTATAACTATTTTCTGTTTCAATAACTTTTTGCTAAAAGATTTTAAGTAAATACAGCAAAATGGTTATTTCTCTCCCGTTCATTGAAGGACACAGGCAACAGATTGTAGATCCTGAATGGTAGGGTAATATCGCCACCTGCAGGAGAAGGACGCTAGGCACAAAACTAAAGACCAATTACAGCCTAGGGGCGGCCCCTGCCGGTGGCCAAACCCCCCACCTGCTGACAAGTCTCCAGTTTATTGCCTAGCGTCAGGAGTAAGGAGCTAAAAAAACCGCAAGGTGGACAGGTTTGTGGCCCGGGCCCTGGACCCTGGGCGGAGGCCGTGGATGCCCTGGTGGCCCCTTGGGGTCATTACGGTCTAATTTACACCTTTTTTCCTCCACTGTATCTGTTGCCTCGGCTGCTGCGTCGAGGGCGTCACTGTCGTCCTCGTGGCCCCGGATTGGCCCGGGGGGCGTGGTACGCGAACGAGGTTCAGCTGGTGGTGGACGCCCGTGGCGTCTGCCTCTGCGCCCTGATCTTCTGTCCCTGGGTCCTGTGTTCCATCCTTCTTTACAGTCGCTGGCTTTGACGGCGTGGCTACTGAGAGCCGGGTCCTATCCCATACCCAAAACAGTAAAGTATAAGCAGAAAAATAACATGGGAGAAACTCATAGATAAAAAATAAACCGAGCTTTGGGAATGGTTCTGTTTGCGTTGGCGTAAGTATGGAACAATTAACTCGAGAGGCAGATCACATATAAACATAGGACATTAAATAGAGAAGATCAGAGAGAACCAGGAGAGAATGACTTGGGAAAGTCACAGGGAAAAGGGTGAGGGGTAGAATGATAACTGGGAGTGCATATAGGCCACTTTATACTCTCATACATGTCAGGGAGCCAATAGACATAGAGTCCAATCACATGAAGTAATTGAGTAATTTTCTTGTTCACTAAGAACAAGGACATCTTTTGCTTTACTTGTGCAATTGTAGTGTTGGAGGACCATCACGCTTTAGGAGAATCTCCTTAGCTTCAGTGAACAAAAATGTCAAGAGGTGAAATTGTTCATTCATATAATGTGCAGGTTTCAACTTCAACAGGGTTTCTTTCTGGATACCTTTGCCCAAAACCCTGCAGAGCAATTGGAGACCAATGGTCCAATTTCTCCAAATTTGTGAGCATTCCCACCATATATGTAGGAAAGTGCCAGGGGACTTGCATCCTCTAAAACGCAGACCTGTGGATACAAACTCCTCCATGCATTGCGGAACTAGCATATTGGTAGTTTAGGGTTAGACTTCACTGCTAGTGTGTTAAAACGTTGAGCCATGGTCTGCCAAATTTGCCTCAAGTTCTCCTGTTCCAAATTAGTCCTGAGATCCTTTTACCAGCTTTTAAAGGAGAACTATGGAGTTAAGGCTTTTCCCCATAGTTCTCCTTAGGGTAACGGGAGGACACAAACTAGCATCCTCGCGTCACCCTAAGCTCAGTATACCGAGAGCTACAGCTCGCGGTATACCATGAGCTACTGCTCGCGCTATACTGAGACGCCGCAGCTGAAGCGGATGCCGACAATTATGTCTGGACCCGCCCAGCTGCGTGTGTGACAGCTGGCTCTGCCTATCTAGAGGCAGAGCCAGCTGTACCCGCCCCCTCCCCCGTCCGTTCCGCCGGTCAGCGCTGGCGGATCGGAGCGGGGGGAATCCAGCCCCTCCCCTGTCACGGCAGAGAGCCGTGACAGGATCGAGAGGTGAGCGAACGCCAGTATGTGTTCGCTCACCTCCCGATCTACTGAGCCGACCTGTGACTCATTGTCACAGGTCGGCTAGAACTATGAGGTGAGTGAAAAGCACTCACCTCATACTTCTCCTTTAACATATGGAAGGGGGTTAGGGGCTTGTTGTATCTCTGGATAAGGGATCCTGTAAATATACACAATGCAAATGGTGTCAAAGTTTGCAGGGAGGAAGATTGTTTGATAGTGTGGGAAACAAAAGTGTTTGATTTGTGAGTAATGGAACATCTCTGACCAAGGGGAGCTGTGAAAGCTGTGTAAGGAGGCACAGTTAATGACTCCCTTAATTATTTAGATTATAGAATTTATAAAGTCCTTAACACCCACCAGCAAAATAGTATAATGAAAAAGATTTATATTCTAAATACACATGACATATTTACATATGAATTTTTTTTTTAATTCATCTCTAAAACTCTTCAGTATTTATTTGTTTTGTAACTTGATATGTGTTGCCCTCATTGACACTAGTCAAGACAAAACAATTAATGTTTTAGCAATAGCCATCTTGTAGCATACCTGAAACGTGCTCCATTTTCATGAGCAGGGTATCCTGTGACAATAACTCCAGCCATAAATGTAGGTAATAATGCCCCTGGCCCTGTGTTTTTCACTTCCTTCAACTGGCCGACACTGCTCTCTCCCTTGTGCAGGGTGGCAGGTTGTGTAACAGCCCCTTTTAGTCCTTCTTCACAAAGGATGACTGCAACGTCTTCACTGTGCTGTTCATTGTGAATGGCACAGCAAGGAAGGGGCACAACACCGGAACAAGTGTCTATAACCAAACTAAGAAAAACATGACATTTAAATTGCAATAAAAAAAAGTATTAAAGGTACGCAAGAAAGTTAAAATATAACTGCCTGGAATTGAGTTTTAAAAAGTTTATCCTATTCAGGAATTTACTGAGCCTGAGTTAGCCTGAAACAGGAAAAAATATGCTTGATGATGCAGTGGTGGGTTATGTATGCAGGTGCGTCAGTCTGGTTTAGTGCTATTTCTTGTGTGATATTCTGAATTGACAGTAAGGAACTTTTAGGATGTGTTCATAGTTATATTACTAATGCTGAGCAGGGTACCATCGTTAGCCCTACCTAGAGAGATTTTTAACTTAAAGGGAAATACCTTTTAAAAAAAAAATGCACACTTTTTCATAAAATAAAGCATATGCATGTATTCTTTTTTTTTTAATCACGGGTGCAATGCTTTTGCTCCTGCCGACTCTTTCTCCTGTTAATGTCCATGCCAAGGTCACCATGTCGCTTTGAGAAAGGATCCCTGCGTGGACCCGAAACGTCAGCACACTATGACGCTGTGTGACACTTTGCACTTTATTTAATAAACTGGTATTTTGGTACTGGATTCCCTTAGTGTGTGCCGGTGAAACGCCTGACCATACCAAGGTATGGACATTGAGTAACATAGAAGGAAGAGTCAATGGACTACAAGCGCGGTGACCTCAAACATTGAACATGGTCAGAAAGGTAAACTTCGCATTGAAACTGGAAAGATGACTGTTTTCTACAATTGGTTATTTTTTTCTTTCTTGCTGACGGTTATATTTATTTTCGGGAACAAATGTGTATAGAATGTAGGAATGCCTCCTCTCTGCCTAGAGATAGTGTGTGTTTTTATGCAGCTGAGACTTACCAATACTGCCATGACAGGACAAGAACTGAAAATATGAGTAAACGTACACTTGTTTGAAGAGATAACTACTGGTAGTAATAACTATCTGTCTGCATTTATTTTATCTTATATTCATTTACTCAATCTTCTTTTTCACTTGCAGCCCCACGCGCTCCTTCCCTCGCAGTCTATCCAGTTTAGAAGGTCGAAGCGTTCCGGCCACGCCCGTCCTAAGCCGAAATGCCTGCAGCAGCTCTGCACTGAGGTAGGTTCTGAAGTGTTGCTTTAGTGGAGGGTGTTATCAAGTCATGCGGCAAGATGTGGCAATCCTACAAAAAAAGGTTGTTCGTTCTGTCTTGAAAGATAAAAAGCATACCAGATGACATAGCCAGGTTGGTGACCCGACATTTCTTAACTGCAGTTAAGCAGTTTTCCAGCCTATGATTGGACAGTAAAGGGTGTTAGCAGCACAGTGATAGGTTAACCCTCTGGTCAATCTGCTGTGTGTTTGGTGTTTTTCATATCTGCCTGGAGTTCAGCTATAAATTGAGTTTGAAGAAATTAGAAAATCAAGGGACTGATGTTTCATGTGTCCAACATAACCAATAATTATTGTTTTATATTTTACCTTATTTCCAGGTCGGACGGGTCAGGGTTGTCTCAGAGGCAGTGGACAGGAAGTCAAGACTCTCAAGTAGGCTTCCCCAGCGAACGTCCACACACCCATTCAGCCAGGAGCCGGCGAAGCAACAGTTCTGAAGCTTTGATAGAGAGACCTCCTCCTGCTGAGACCCAGGGAAAACCTTCCTTCAAGAGTTCAGAAGCCCTAAGTGATCGCTCTCAGGCTGGTCCCGCACCCACTCACCACCAACAGCGAGGGGCAATATCCCCAGACCCCAGAACACCCAACACCAACTCGCGCCTTCCATATGAAGAAATACTGTTAGATTATTACATGGACCGCCAGCAGCAACAACAGCAGCAGACACGAGGGTGGGCGGAATCAGAAGGTCAATGGTGGGTGGAACCTGACTCTCCCTGGTGGGCAGAACCTGATGGTAGTAGCCATTACTCTAGACGAGACGGCTACTACGAGGGCTATATGGGGAGCCCAACCCTTCGGAGTCGTGCCGAGACCCAACAGCGCAGAAACGTTACTCGAAACAAATCTTGTGGCCCTCAGTTGACTGATGTTAGTCATTTTCAGCAGCCTTGGCATTCCGATGGCTTCCAACAACGCAGTGCCCCTCATGTCTCCCATCCTGGTCCTCGGTCCAGGAGTCAGCCTCGGGCTCCACCACCTGAGACAATGGAGAGGAATGTGCACAAAGCTCTAGCACTGGAGGGGCTCCGGGACTGGTACTTGCGCAATTCAGCAGCAACTGGGGGAGTTCAAAGGGGCCCTATTCCCTCGCACATGCAGTACCAGAGATACTATCGTCCAGGTTATCACGAGGGACACTATCAGACTGGATCCCCACTTCCACACTCCATCAGTTTTACTGGGGCCCCTTTGCATAGCAGGTACGAAGTCCTCTACTGAACTGTCTCCTGTCAGGTGCACAAATGTTGCCTGCACACGTATACGCACCTCAAGTGGCTGAAAAATCTGGCCTTAACGTGACCGTCAGAAAAGTCATCCTTAACTTGGTGCTGAGTTAGAAAAAAAATAGTAATATAAATGTATATATTTGTTTTCTGATCTGCTGTGACTCTGTACAGCCAAATTCAACTGGAAAGGGCTGAGGGGATAAGGAGGTGTAATCTACCAACTATGATCTGCTGAGTCAACAGCAGCCATACACTAGGCAGAAAAGTTTTCTACAGTATATTTGATTTACTTTTTTTTCTTTTACATAAAATAGTTTCCAGCTGAGTTGGTATACACTTAGATAGAATTTGAAAGGCACTCTATTGAAGTGTTACGTTTGCATGGGCTGCCTTGTAAACCTTACAGCTTTCTAATTTCTTTTTCCCTTTTTTTTTCTTCTTTGATTCTATTCCAAACACTGATCTCCATTTTATATCCATGTTACTGTTCCTACTTCATTTTGCACGTATTATCAATCTTCTGTTCACTCTCAAAAATGTGACAACTTTTTTTTTCTCCCTGAACATTCATTTAATTTTGAATTCTCAATGCCCACTCAAACGCTGTTCCTCCTCACTTCACGTTCAAAATTTTCCTACCCTCCTCATTACTCTATCCAATTTTTGGCATGTGGAAACACTTTTCCACCATTAATTATGGTATGCACTGCTTGTCCCCCCTTCACAAACTACATTACACCACCGCCTCGCATTCTGTCATGGCCACCTCACCTGCTTGCCATGTCCCCCCCCCACCCCCAATCAGGCACTTTTCAGAATACGTCGATGAGGATCTGTACAGCCAGGCCACCATGGGGAGTCGGGCACAAGGAGAGCGGTCAAGAGAAGGCACACCACCGGGAACTTTAGTCTGACACTGGATGGCGGCCCTCCCGTCATGCCTCCCACCACCAAAATGCCGAAAATCTTCCTCAAAGAACGAGAGACCCACACTGCTATTTTGGTTCTTCAGCAATAAGACTAGTCAGGAGGAGTGAAACAGGACAGAAATGATCCCCGCATATTAGGCCTCCTTGCTTGTTGGTTCTGTAAGTGCAATAAGTAGCTACACCGTTTTGGAGGTTTAGTGCGCAGCAAGGGGAGACTGGTCCTCCTGTTCACAAATGCCAATTTAACACTCTCTACAAGTGCCTCCCTGGTAGAGGGGGTTTTGTGATACGTACAGTTTCCATTTTTCGACCTTGTTCCTAAATGTTATGTTATATCGTGCGTTCATTGGCATTCGTCTTTCTCAGTGTTGGGGGGGGGGGGGGGAAGAAACCAGATAATTTTGTGTACATTTAATATTGCTGCCTCTTTGGATCTCTGTATCCTTGTGACTTAACTGAGATAATACAAATTTATCTCAGTGTGAATTGTAACCTTCAATAGCAGGAAGTAGAAGAAAAATAAAGGCATAGTCTACTCGGACTGGCTAAAGAGTAGTAAACCTCAATGTAAACCCTGTGCCAAACCGAAACAGCAAAGTGCTTGCTAACAGTCTTGTTTCCCTGCTGTGTAAAACACTGTATAGTTTGATAACTTGTATCCACAATGAATGTTTGTAAGTAGATACACTGGAAAGAAATCAATCATTACAGCTGCTGCATGAGAAGATGAGGCTGAGCTGGACTCGTTGCCTCCATGCTGGTCGGGACCATTGTAAAAGAAGCAGTTTGTAGTATCTCTTCTGATTTTTGTTTTATTTGTTCCACACACTGGTGACTGGACAACACTGTGCAATATGTACAAACGCATTTTATTTGGGGAAAGGGGAAGTAACTTGTTTATTGGGCAGGACAATTTAACAATAAATTCTAAAAAATAAAGTAACAAAAATATTGAGTTTACCGGATATTTAATCAACGTTCTGCATTCTCTTGAGAATCCTTTAAAAATGGGCTCCAGCCAAAACATATATACATAAATAAACACCCGCACCATTTCTGGTTTTTCGTTTTGACCATGTCCTTGCTCTGGTGAACAAACAGTAAGTAAGAAGAGTATCTAATACACTTTTCTCAGACAAAAACACAGAATCTCAACAAATCATTAACAGGGTTATTCACAAAAGGGTGAAGTTTGGAGAAGGCAGGAGAAGTGAACAATCTAGGACAACATAGCTTAACTGGAAAGGTGAGCTGAATTGGAGAATCTTTCCAAATCAGCTATGTTGTCTAAAGGTGGCCATACACACTACAACCATCGCAAGACCTTAGGACAGGCAGATCGCACTCTCGATCATCGCAAGCCCGCCCCCCTGAGGGGCGGGCTTCCGATGACCGCAATGCTGAACGGGCAGTGTGCGCGTGTGCACACCGGCCCGTTCGGCATTTGTCTTCCGAGCACCGTTCTAACCAGCCGAGAATCGTACGATTCCCGGCTGGTTTTCGAACATGCTGGTTCGACGGAAGATGTGCGACCGTACAGTAGAAACGGTCGCACGTCTCCGTTCACACTGATCGATTCTCGTACGATCGCGGGATTTCCCGCGATTCTCGTACGAGAATCGAGCAGTGTATGGGCACCTTTTAGATTGTTCCCTTCTCCTGCCTTCTCCAAACTCTTCACCCTTTTGTCAATAAGCCTGTAAGATGCAACTATATGACCTTTGCGAGTATCCCCCTACACAACCACCCCAGAATAACATTAATGCAGATTTTCAATCTGATGGGTGATTAATGGAAAAACAATAGCAGCTGAAGTTCTGGTCTTAGGCTATGTTTACACCGTGTCCAGATCAGTTGTGGAGCAGATCTGCAAGTGCAGTGCGTTTTTGATGCATTTTTTTTTTTTTACGGGGTCCAGTGCATTGTTTTATTTAGCTTACAATGGGCTGTCGTGCGCAGTCCAGTGCATCTGCATGTGGTTTTGATATGTTTCAGAGCAGAAAAAAATGCCTGCAGCATTTTTTTTTTTTTTACTGGAACGGACTGCACTGGTGTCAACAGAACCCAGAAATACCATAGCAATACATTGGGATGCATTTCAGGTGACGACAAAAACTGTTCTGCTCCGGACACGATGTGAACAAGCCCTTAGTCGTGGCCCCACTCTAAGCCTACTCATTGAACAATAAGGCTGCAGCAAAATATTTAGCTTGTTCATGTTCTTGGTGTTAATCTGACAGCACCGGCCAAGCAACAAAGCTCTAATTGGTTGAACGTACTGCTGTTTCTGTATAGTGTGACATGGGAGAAATGTATTCATTGAGACTTATAAAGTTATTAACAGGTCCACTTGGAAACTTCCAGGCTTCAAGATTAAGGGGAAGCTGTACAAGGTATTACAACATACCCTTACAGCATGCAAACACCTTTGCACACATATCAAACTGACGAATGTGCTGCTGACTAAACCTCTGCAGCGGCAGGATCAGCAAGGTGTAGCTGCCACTTATCCTGATGGCACTTATTCCCCAACTGGCTGAAAGTGCAGACTCTTGTGTGAGTGCCATGTCAGCCTCAGTCAGTAAGGGGGAGCAACATCATAGGAGAAGGCTATTGGTCTAGTAAAATGACAGGTCACAGATTTTTTAAATGCTTCTATTGGTTCCTAGTTTATAACCAGGTAAAGGAAGATGTACTTAATAGTCACATGGAAATAAAAGCTGAAGGCTGCTTTAAAAAGTATCGTACCCCTCCAATGTTAAACCTGCAACAGAAAAAACATTGAGTACACACCACAGAACACACTTTTGTTATACCACAGATTATTAAAAACAATATATTGTTGAATTTGGCTATTAAAAAAAAAATGTGTGCTGTAGGTGTAAAAATACATCTCAGCTGTTCTCTTCTAGCTATACTACAAATGTTCTAGTTCCTGTGCATGACGCCAGTTTTAGTTCAGACCTATTCTAGGTTGATCAACCTCCTGCATGCAGATTAGTATGACAGACAAATAAAAGTCGTAGGGCTCAATGTATAAAACCAAATACCAGCAGTTTGATAAGGACAGTACTATACTTGTGAGTTATGTTCTGCTTGTTTCTAGACTCCAAAGCAAGTGAAGTGGTATTCATTCCAAAAGTTAAATAGAAAAAAAAGGCTGGGACATGACATGTCAAACCTGAAATTAGCCTCTCTTCCAGTTTCTGAGTTATTTTAAAATAAAGGTTGGAAAAATGGTGACAGGAATCTGGTTGCTATGGGCATTACCGTTCTAAAAAACAGTCTGGTGGACTTATGAATGGTGGCTACTAGTGACATACGTTCTTCCCATGTTTTAGCAATCTGTGAACTAGTCAGAAGATGCTGATTAGGTTTTAGGTGCTTTCTGGTGGCTGTAGATGGCAATTTCAGACCAATTTGAGCTGACCAATGTAGTCTATGGACAGCACACTCTATTGGGACTATGAAACAATCAAAACTGAATGTGACAGGTTCCCTTGATGCGTAGGATCACTCTTATGAATGGAAGTCAAATTCATTAAAAAAATTACCTTATGCATTGCCATCATTACACTAAGTATATGTGAAGGGATTGGGTGTCCAATCTCCGAGCTGTGAGCAAAACAAGTGACTGCAGTCTTGGCATTCTTCATTATAGTGCCTTTTCATCATTATTGCACCTCTCTTCATATAATCTTTCCTCATTACTACTTCCCTCTTCATGCCATCCCTCCTCTTTACTGCATCCCTCTTCATATAATCCTTCCTCATTACTTCACACCTCTTCATATTATTCCTCCCCTTTTCTGTATCCCTCTTCATACCATCCTTTCCCATTACTGCATGCCTCTTCATATTCATATCATCCTTGTTACTGCATCCCTCTTCATATCAACCCTCCCCATTACTGTATCCCTCTTTATACCATCCTTCCTCATTACGGCATCCCTCTTCATATAATCCTTCCTCATTACTTCACCCCTCTTCATATTATACCTCCCCTTTCCTGTATCCCTCTTCATACCATCCTTCCCCATTACTGCATGCCTCTTAATATTCATACCATCCCTCTGTTACTGCATCCCTCTTCATATGAACCCTCCCCATTACTGTATCCCTCTTCATACCATCCCTCCATTACTGCACCATTTCCTCCTGCCATCCCTTCTCATTACTGAATCCTTCTTCCTAATAACCCCACCCATTACTACACCTCCTCTTCATACATCCCTCCCCAATACCACAACATTCGTCTTACCATCTCGCCCTATTTCTGCACCCTTCTATATATCATCTCTATATTACCCTCTAGTGATCTCTGCCTGACAGTACAAATAAAGTCCCAGGCAAATGGAAGAGAGCGGTGTGGTCGAGGTATTCAATTCTACAGCCACTAACCACCAATGGAAGGGGTATTTAAAAATGTATATTTTCTTTTTTTTTAGCACTCCTGGTAAAAATGTTTTCTCTGAGTTCACCAAGACACAACTCTTTGATTGTAGATTGGAAAGAACCAGTTTGTTGTAGTGCCACTTACTTGAGCAGGATGCTAGATGTAAAGAGAGAGGAAAAAAAAGAGCAACAAGTGGCATAGCACCCCCTAGTGGCCGAACCTCACCTTTGCCCGAGATTGTCTGGTAGCAGAACACAGTGCAAGATAGGTAGAACCAGTTGGACATCCACAAGCCGTACCTTGCAAGGATGTTGGACAAATACACCAACAACATAAAAAAAAACATGGTGAGCCCTCTCCCCCCTGAGGTAATTCACACTGCCTCCTGTAAGATGCAACCACATCTACTTTATAACATTTGGTACAGGTATAAGCAAAAGACCAAGTCACAGCCTTACATACACTGAGGTCTGATGACAGAAAGCCCAGAAGGTACTAACCACCCTGGCAGAATGAGCAGTGATAGGAAAAGAAGGTCCTTGATGCCTAATGGCTTGGGTTGGGTTGGAAGACATACTGGTGGGTATGCATTGATCAGCTTGAATATGTCCCACGGTGCTCCCAAGGCATCTGGCACATCTAGTAGATCTTCATGACAAATATTTTCAGGTTGGTATTGAAGGGAGAGGCTAGAAGATCCACATCCACCACTACCTAGTGCAAAGCTGACGGAAATCCTGAGGGTGAAGGGACCAGTCCCCTGGGTTTAGATGTTGATACCTGACATAATCTGCCTGCCAATTGTCCACTCTTTGAAAGTAGACCGGAGACAGGGCTGGAACCCTGAGTGGTATGTGGTAAACCTCCAACGCTGCTGATGAACTCTTCATGACCCCATAGATGTCTGACTGTATCTTTGCAGGATGAACATGCAAGTCATCTGTTTAGTGAAGCAATAACCTAATGGTTTGGAGTTCCAGGAAGAACTTCTTTGACCAACAACCCTGCACAGAGACCCAACAACAACCCCTTGTCCACCTTCCCACCCTTCTCCAATAAAAAGACTCACATCTGTCTTTGCAATCAGCCTCATGACTTGCCCAGGTTTAGAAAAGGAGAGGGAGACATTAGCCACCACATGGGGACATTCTTGTCGGGGAATTGAGATGTTCCTGGCCAGAGACAGAGGTGTTTTGTTCCACTCATGCAGAATTTCCAGCTGAAAATTCTGAGCATGGCAGTGTGCAAAGGAAACTGCTCTGAATGTGGACACCAATAGGCCCAACACTCATGCATAAATGATTTAAAAATATCCTGATATGATCCTGAAGCCTTTTGAACCCCCCAAATCGGAGTCCAGGATTAGGCCCAGACACCCCAGGCAGGAAGTTGGGGTTAGCCTGGACTTCTTGACATTCAGAATCCAACCAAAATCTCATAAGGTAGGTAACGGTCCTTGATTGTTGTTCTCCTAATTCTGTTATGAATTCACCCTCAAGAGAACATTGTCTAGAAAGATATAGATCACTCCCATTCATTCATAATTGAAGATACAGTAACCATACCATGTCCTCAATTATCTACAAAAACACTCAGCGGTGTGTGAGGAGAGACACCGGCCGCTCACGGCGGTCTCCTCCCGCAGCGCTCGGCCGGCTGTCACTTTTTCTCCTCCCCGCTGGGACAAAGAGCAGCGCTCAGCAGGGAGGAAAGAAATCACAGATGCGCTGACAAAACGGCAGGAAAATTGCACTTTTAGGCAAAAAGTGGCTGGCGCCCCACTTCAGCTTTACGCCCAGGGGCCAGCTGCCCCCCCCCGGTTGTTACGCCACTGCTTACCACCATTGTGAGGGGTTAGATACCTCTATACTGGGGATGGAGGGGTAGTACTGCCAGTGCTGCTAATGCTGGGGCTTATTACTGCAGTCACTGACACCAATGCTGGGGCTTATTACTGCAGTCACTGACACTAATGCTGGGGGTTATTACTGCAGTTTCTGACACCAATGCTGGGGGTTATTACTGCAGTTACCGACACCAATGCTGGGGGATATTACTGCAGTTACCGACACCAATGCTGGGGGATATTACTGCAGTTACCGACACCAATGCTGGGGGATATTACTGCAGTTACCGACACCAATGCTGGGGGATATTACTGCAGTTACCGACACCAATGCTGGGGGATATTACTGCAGTTACCGACACCAATGCTGGGGGATATTACTGCAGTTACCGACACCAATGCTGGGGGATATTACTGCAGTTACCGACACCAATGCTGGGGGATATTACTGCAGTTACCGACACCAATGCTGGGGGATATTACTGCAGTTACCGACACCAATGCTGGGGGATATTACTGCAGTTACCGACACCAATGCTGGGGGATATTACTGCAGTTACCGACACCAATGCTGGGGGATATTACTGCAGTTACCGACACCAATGCTGGGGGATATTACTGCAGTTACCGACACCAATGCTGGGGGATATTACTGCAGTTACCGACACCAATGCTGGGGGATATTACTGCAGTTACCGACACCAATGCTGGGGGATATTACTGCAGTTACCGACACCAATGCTGGGGGATATTACTGCAGTTACCGACACCAATGCTGGGGGATATTACTGCAGTTACCGACACCAATGCTGGGGGATATTACTGCAGTTACCGACACCAATGCTGGGGGATATTACTGCAGTTACCGACACCAATGCTGGGGGATATTACTGCAGTTACCGACACCAATGCTGGGGGATATTACTGCAGTTACCGACACCAATGCTGGGGGATATTACTGCAGTTACCGACACCAATGCTGGGGGATATTACTGCAGTTACCGACACCAATGCTGGGGGATATTACTGCAGTTACCGACACCAATGCTGGGGGATATTACTGCAGTTACCGACACCAATGCTGGGGGATATTACTGCAGTTACCGACACCAATGCTGGGGGATATTACTGCAGTTACCGACACCAATGCTGGGGGATATTACTGCAGTTACCGACACCAATGCTGGGGGATATTACTGCAGTTACCGACACCAATGCTGGGGGATATTACTGCAGTTACCGACACCAATGCTGGGGGATATTACTGCAGTTACCGACACCAATGCTGGGGGATATTACTGCAGTTACCGACACCAATGCTGGGGGATATTACTGCAGTTACCGACACCAATGCTGGGGGATATTACTGCAGTTACCGACACCAATGCTGGGGGATATTACTGCAGTTACCGACACCAATGCTGGGGGATATTACTGCAGTTACCGACACCAATGCTGGGGGATATTACTGCAGTTACCGACACCAATGCTGGGGGATATTACTGCAGTTACCGACACCAATGCTGGGGGATATTACTGCAGTTACCGACACCAATGCTGGGGGATATTACTGCAGTTACCGACACCAATGCTGGGGGATATTACTGCAGTTACCGACACCAATGCTGGGGGATATTACTGCAGTTACCGACACCAATGCTGGGGGATATTACTGCAGTTACCGACACCAATGCTGGGGGATATTACTGCAGTTACCGACACCAATGCTGGGGGATATTACTGCAGTTACCGACACCAATGCTGGGGGATATTACTGCAGTTACCGACACCAATGCTGGGGGATATTACTGCAGTTACCGACACCAATGCTGGGGGATATTACTGCAGTTACCGACACCAATGCTGGGGGATATTACTGCAGTTACCGACACCAATGCTGGGGGATATTACTGCAGTTACCGACACCAATGCTGGGGGATATTACTGCAGTTACCGACACCAATGCTGGGGGTTATTACTGCAGTTACCGACACCAATGCTGGGGGTTATTATTGCAGTTATTGACACTGATGCTGGAGGGGTTACTACTGCATTCACTGACACCAATGCTGGGGGTTATTACTGCATTCACTGACACCAATGCTGGGGGTTATTACTGCATTCACTGACACCAATGCTGGGGGTTATTACTGCATTCACTGACACCAATGCTGGGGGTTATTACTGCATTCACTGACACCAATGCTGGGGGTTATTACTGCAGTTACTGACACCAATGCTGGGGGTTATTACTGCATTCACTGACACCAATGCTGGGGGTTATTACTGCA